AAAATCAATAACCAAAGATTTGCGGAAGGCAACATTTGGCAACATTACCCATGAGTACCAATCTAAATCTCAGTTTATCGGCAGATTTTGTTAAATGATCCGACAGCATTCTATCTCTTTTTAACTAGGGTTAAACAGAAGAGAAAATGCGTTCTGAGTTGAAAACGAATTTTAATTTCTTAAAACCTGCAATTGGCAATAATTTCCACGTCATTGATGATGTGCAACCATTATTCTAATAATTTCACTATATAACTATACTATAGTTGAACCAAATCCAAGCGGCAATAATGACATAGACCTAACTGGTAATTTTCATTACAACCTACCAAATATCCTCCGTGCATGCGCACTGGTCGTGGTAGGGCACTTCAACCAATAGGAAGACTGGATTTCCAGCTCGTGTTTGTTAACAATTTAAATTTAGGTTATTTAAATGTCATAACTGCCGCTTGGGTATGGGTAAACTATAGCTTAGACCGAGGGTTTGACAATGTTTTATTTTTGATTTTGGCAAGGAAAGTTGATAGTATTGAAATTTTCTGTATAGTTGCACCAGAAAATACTTAGCTAATCCCGTGAAGAAATCCATGAATAAATAATAAATACTTATTTTTATACATGTAGAAATACACGTAAAAATGCAAATATTATATCAAACGTGAGGGGCGGCTCACTCCCGAAATCGCTGTACATTTTCATCCGAAATCCCGTGAAATCACTTCGAAATCCTTTGGAAATCCCGAAATCCATTTGAAATCGCGAAATTCTCTCCGAAATCGTTACGAAATCCCAACCAAAATCCTTCAGAAATCGTGAAATCCCAACTGAAATCCTTCTGAAATCCCAATAAATTTACCGAAATTCTCGAAATCCTTAGTGGTCCGGCGTTGTAATTCGAATATCCGAAATCTTTCGAAATCCCTTAAAAATTGTCGAAATTCCCTGCGATTTCCGAAGTCGATATGCAAATTGTTGTGAGTGAGCCGCCCCTCGGTGAAACGGGTTTAGGAATTAATAAACAATATACAGGGTGTCAAAAAAATACCATGGGCCATCATTGGTATATCGTAAACGGTGAGAGATACGAGGGCGGTGAATTAGAAAAAAAATCCCATTTTCGAAGGTGATTAAAAATATATTTTCGTTGTTGCCAAAGTTCTATTAGTTTCCGAGATACCGGATGATTTGTAAAAAAACAGTTCTCGGTTTTTTTTACAAATCACCCTCGGAAACTAATACAAATTTGGCAACAAAGAAAATATATTTTTGATAACCTTCGGAAATGGCCTAATTCAACAGCCCTCGTATCTCTTACCGTTTCCGATATACCTACCAATGGTGGCCCATGGTATATTAGACACCCTATATAATCAGTTATCAGTAGGTTTAGTTAACAAGCGGAAAAATTTTATATACGGGATCCATCATGTGAAACTCCTTAGTTTCATCACATTCGATCAAACAATTGGCAGTTGTGATTATTACACAAGAGCTTGTTTATTCGCGATTAAATTTTTGTTTACCTTTTTTGACAGAATTTTGATAGAAATATTCTAACTTTTTATAATAAATAGAACTCTTTGGATAAGATTGAAGCCAATAATTCAATCCTAATTATTCAAGAAATAATCTACCCGTATACCACTCGACCTATAAATTTAAATAGATTAAACTATCCAAATATTTTTTGCATTATTTTGCTTTTTGGCAAATAGTTTCATGCACAATAAGGCCAGGATTATTAGAAGTGTGAACACAAAATTTTTCATAACCAGCTAAAAATTGTTATACGTTTTCGATTTATTGTCTAAAATAACATACAAAAACTCCCCGCGCTTCCTCCACTTGCTTTATGCGATATAGGCTACACACTGCCACGTTGCGTGAAGCCACCGAAGATTTCTCGGGAGTTAAATCGGAAACTAGTGAACAACACGTGGACCTACGAGACGCAAGACAAACCATAGACAATTAGGATCTTCCGATTTTCCGTGATTGGTTAGTGAATCATAATCCATTTTCATCTAGGCAAAAAGGAGATAGGTGCTTTGTCCACTGGATTACTCTGGAATGATTCCATTAATTGCGATAGGGCTTTGGAGATTGGCAAGGAATCAATGAAAAAAGTGAATGGTAGTTATTTTGGAGAGTTACAATTAAAGAGAAAAGACAAAGTTAAACCTTTTTGAATAGTGTGTGTCATGAACAGCGAAGACTGTAAAAAGAAAGTTTTCAAATAAAAACTTGCACCAAAACCCCCCTGTTTATTTGATGATATTTCGTTCCAGGAGACAAACAAGGCTGAACTTGATAAAAAAATTGAATATTTCTTCCCCTGCACATCAACCATCGATTCGCAGAAATCTTATGTTCTGGATGGTGGATACCTCGTACATACAGTGAATTGTCCTACGCGGCCTGCAACGTATGGTAATGTTTGTCATTCGTTTGTATCATAATATGATAGGTACGCAAAAATATGGAACATCATGCGTGATAGTATTTGATGGTTACAGAGGAGACTTAAGTACGAAAATTCAGGAACAAAAGCGCCAGTGTGCAGGTAAGTCATGTGCAGACTTAAAAGTAGAAAACCATTTACCAACTGTCACTACAAAGGAAGAATTTCTTTGTAACTCAGAAAACAAAGCACAACTGATAGATATATTGACACAAAAACTTCGAGCCAAAAAAATGGTGGTGCACCAAGCTGAAGCTGATGCTTCTGTCACGGTTGTCGCTACCGATACAGATATTTTAACAATATTAATTGCAAGAACTAATGAACATTCTTCAAAAGTTTTTATGTTAAAACCTGGAAGTGGAAAGACTGGAAGCAAATATTACAATATTGCGGAAATTCAAAAAAATCTGGGAGATCTGAAGGATGTCCTACTTTTTGCACATGCAATTTCTGGTTGTGACACAACATAGGCCTTTTTTAGAAAAGGAAAGGTAAAAACTTTCCAATGTTTAGACAATAAAGAAATGCGAAAGACGGTATCTGTATTTAACGATTCTCGAGCCCACCGAAAGGACATTGAACATGCTGGGGAAGCATTTGTATTGCAGCTCTATGATAAAGGAAGCCTCAAAGTTGATTTGGATGAGCTAAGATATTATTTATACAAACAGACAGTTGCCAAACAATCAATCCAGGATAGTTTTCAGCTATCATCTTTACCACCTACTAAAGACGTAACTAGGCAGCATTCGTATCGTGTCTATTTACAAGTACGGTAGAGCGCTGGATGGGAAACGATCTCCCACCGTGTGAATGGGGTTGGATTAAGCGTGACCAGACTCTAATTCCGGTATTTTCCGTGAAAAACGTTCACACTTAACAAATTAGTTGTCATGCTTCGGCGAATCTCATAAATCTACCTATTTACGCGGACAACGTTAGATAGGAGTAAGTTTCAAAATAAACATCCTGTATAATTCAATATCTCAGGATGCAAGCGGGGAGGTGTGGGGAGTTTCAAATCACGATTCAATATCACACCTAGAATAAGTGTTCCAAATTTTAGCTTGTTATAAGGCATTTTGTGTCTGGTTAATTTTTATCTAAAAATCCTGGGCTATAAGTTATTGTCATATACCTATTATACTAACGTATATCGCGCCTTCCCCATTTACCCAATGTGCGGTTTTTGAAGTAAACAAAGAGAGATAAAGATATATGATCTGGCATAAGTCTATCTAAAGTAGAACAAGGTCACCAACTGCGCTTGCGTTAAACTCTAGATTCTTATTGGCCAGCGGTTGCCATTTTGCAACAAGCTTTTCGTGCCGTGTTGTCATGTCAATCTAAAAAGTACAATGAATTAGGATCATTTTTTGAGGTTATAATTTGGTCAATTGTATTTTGATTCCAAAACACTGATAATAATGAATAATATTGGTTTATTTGTCGAAATCGAGTTTATGTTACACACCAAAATACTAAATTCGTCATGTTTTTTGTGGATGTTTAAATAAGTCGAAGATGAAAATAATTTTAATGGCAACCCTGCAATATCAGCTGTTTAAAATGAAATCTTATTGGAGGAATAACTTCAAATTGACGCATGCGCATTGAAAAAAACTAGTTCACTTTAGGCAAAGAAGGCGCATCCTTCTATCTAATAATGTTTGCTTCAAGAACTCAAACCAACCCGCGATATACGTAGTATAATAGATATATAGTTATTGTGCATTCAACTATTTTCCAAGCAAAATCATGGTCAAAATATGTTGGATAGTTTAATCGATTAAATTTAAAGCACTTGTGATATAATATATGATTAATACATTCACATTACTAACATTGGTTTTGAAAATACATAAACAGTACCAAGAGTACTTCTACATTAGTACCAGTACTAAAAATTGCTTTACAATACAGGTTAAGTATTGTTGTTTCATCCACAGTACCCGACAGTTTGTGACAATCCCTACAATACCATACAATACCTAGAATAAAGTGACAATACTCGAAAATACTCTGACAATACTCAACTAGAACGGCCAATTTACAGTAGATGTACAAATTTCCATTCAGGTGTTGACCCCTCGAAAATGACGTGGCAGAAATCCTTTTTTCAACACTAGAAAAACGGTTGTTCTACAACTAAACCCACTAACAATTAAAAAATTACATTAATTTTATAACTGTAGTCCAAACTATACAACAAAAAACTATATAATGCAAGGATAAATACGAGGTTTCTAGAGGCAATCTTGGAATTCAACAATGATAACGACAATCTGAGAACGTACTTATTTACAGTATATTTTTGCTAGTTGTAGGGACTGACGTCATATTTGGCGGGTTTTTTACTGCTGCTGAATTTATATTTTTCATTAAAAATTAACGGCAACTCAAATGTTCCCCAAAATAGTGTTATTAGAGTTTGTGTTCTAGAATAAGAAAAAAAATAATTAAAAAAAAACACTAAATATCCCCATTATTGAATATTGCAACTTATTGAGCTGCCTACCATTTCTATTTTCAGCAACAATTTTGATTGGTTAAAAGTATTGCGATACTATTGGTTTGAAAATTTGGACGACTGTGTGGCAAAAATGTCTAGCGCTTCATACCTTTATGGATACGAGTACCTGGGTGCTGGCGGAGTTTTGGTCATCACACCGCTGACTGATAAATGTTATTTGTGTCTCATGGGAGCCTTGCAGTTAGATTTGGGTGGGGCTCCTGCAGGTCCGGCAGGTACAGGCAAAACTGAAACCACCAAGGACTTAGCAAAGGCTTTAGCAATCCAGTGTGTCGTCTTTAATTGTTCTGAAGGACTCGACTATAAAATGATGGGTCGATTTTTCTCTGGATTGGCACAGTCCGGAGCCTGGTGCTGCTTCGACGAGTTTAATCGAATCGACATTGAAGTATTGTCAGTCATTGCTCAACAATTGATTACTATAAGAAACGCTAAGGCCGCCAAATTGGCAAGGTAATGACTCATGCCAAAAGACTAAAAGTCCAAAATAAAACTTATTTATCGGTATGTGTTTCAGATTTATGTTTGAAGGAAGAGAAATAAAGTTACTACAAAGATGCGCTGCCTTTATTACTATGAATCCTGGCTACGCTGGAAGAACTGAGCTTCCAGATAACTTGAAAGCCCTTTTTAGGCCTATATCGATGATGGTACCTGATTACGCCCTTATTGCCGAAGTCATCCTCTACTCTGAAGGCTTTGAATCCTCCAAAAATCTATCACTAAAAATGGTGCAAATGTACAAATTGTGCAGTGAGCAACTATCGCAACAAGACCACTACGATTTTGGGATGCGAGCAGTGAAAAGTGTTCTGGTGATGGCTGGATCATTGAAACGAGCTAATCCGGAACGAAACGAGGATACTGTACTTATTTGTGCACTTAGGGATAGTAATTTACCAAAGTTTCTGTCAGATGATGCGGTTTTGTTTCAGGTAGGACCTGTCTATGCAATATAGGTACTTGATTAAAATAATTTTTCTTGGCGTTCTTCATAGGGTATTCTAGGAGATCTATTTCCTGGTACAGAACTGCCCGTGAGCGATTATGGTATATTTCAAGAAACAATGAAAGAAGTGATGGTGGAAAACAACCTCCAACCAGAGCTATGTATGATTTATAAAGTTATCCAGTTGCACGAGACCATGATAGTGAGATGGGGAGTGATGCTGGTAGGACCAACTGGCGGAGGAAAAACTACAATTTTAAATGTGAGAAATTTTTATTTTGCACTGAATCATTTTCAAGCATTTTTCCTCAATAGACCTTGAACTGGTCCTTATCAAAAATGCACGAAAACGGTCATGAAGGACCTTACTATCATCCAGTGCACACCTACATCATGAACCCGAAAGCTGTTTCTGCTGGTGAACTGTATGGAGAGGTCAATACATTAACGTTGGAATGGAAAGATGGTCTAATGGGGATGATGATGAGAACCGCTGTACAGGTAGTTACTACAATCTTCATATAATTTGCTAAAGAAGTTTATATGTCTTTCCACGCCATTCTGACGTTATTACTTGAGCTAGAACTCTAAAATTTGGAATAGTTGTTCTTAGGGATACCAGCTAGAACCTAACAAAGCGAGGTTTTTCAATTTCGATCTAGAAAAAAAAAAACGCATCTACCTATATCAATGGAGAAATTTTAACCCTAGAGAATTCTGTAATTATTTTAGTTTACCACTGAAGACCATCAGTGGATCATATGTGATGGCCCTGTAGATGCTGTCTGGATTGAGAATTTAAATACTGTCCTCGATGATAATAAAATGTTGTGCCTGGCCAATTCAGAAAGGATTAAGCTAACTCCTTACGTGCATATGGTGTTTGAGGTTCAAGATCTGGCTCAAGCTTCACCGGCAACTGTTAGCAGGTGCTGATTTATCCATTATGATCGCATTACTCGATATTAAATCTTCATTTACAGGTGCGGAATGGTTTACGTAGACTCGGAAGAAATCAAGTGGATGCCCTACGTGCAATCGTGGGTTAATAAAGTCAAGAATAATTTATTAACTGATGAATTGAAAGCATTTGTGTTGGAACTTTTTAGCACCTACGTACAAAGCGGATTTGATTTTCTAAAGAAACATTGTGCATATGCAATACATCAGGTGAGACAGAAATATAGTAAAGATCCTTTGAAGCTTGGGTGAAGCGGATTTTACATTTGTGTAGTTTTTTATGTATTAATACATGTAAAAGTTAAGGCCATGAATTTCTTCACTGATGCGTTCGTGTATTTTCAATAGCATAAATATGCGAAATTTCAATGATATATACCAACACAAAAAAATAATGTACATAATCATACACTCAAGCTGTAATAGTTATTTATGTACCAAGGGCGTAATAAGGTTTTAGCTACGCGAAGGGCCTCCAATAGACCGTAGGCCCGCTGTCAAAAAGTGTAATGATAGTATAACGTATGCCCTTTGAAGTTTTGGCAATTATGCATATACCATGCATATGCTCGTCTACGTAAGGTAGGAATGGGTAATATGCCCATGCTAAGAGCTATCTTTGTTATTTTGGAAAAAAATAAACACATTTTTGTAATTTTTGTTCAAATGTACTTGTTTTTACATAAGAAACCGTTTTTAAGATGGTATATGACCAATAAATAAATTATATGTTTTAAGTGTAAATTTAAGAAATAATTTCACACAGTTTGGATTTTGTTGAGAAAATACTTATATTTTTTTATTGAAAAAGGATATAGGTATATAATACATATATATTATTATTAAGTATATACTTATATTATATTTAAATGTCACAATCTGGGCATAAAAAAAAATAGTTTTATCAGACCGACGCATTCCTCATGCACGTACACTAAACATGCCGAGCACAGTCTCATATCTTTTTTTATATCTTCCTCGCAGACTTTGCAGTACCAGCTTTCAGCTGATGCTTTTGAATTTTGTTTTATCTTACTTTCGATTTTCAAACATGTTTTGCTTACTTGTTTTTCAGTAGTTTTCTTCTTTGAATTAGTGTTTTTTTCATGAAAAACCGCCTGTTTTACAACAAGTGCCCTACTGTTGATTGCTTTTCTTGATGTTTGTGTTTTCTTATTGTCATCTTTATATGGAGTTTCCAACATCTCGTGAAAACTTGGTTCGTGTATTACCTTCTTTTCATTGACTGTTGTGTTTTTATCTTCTTGAATTTGTTTAGTTTCATGTTCTTGTCTATTTTCTTTATTTACGTCTACCTCTTGATCATTCGCTTCTTTGGGATTTTCTTCATCTTCTGTGTTGTTCGTTAATTCTTTTTCTAGGTGTTTCAGTCGTTGTTGAGTTGTGATACTTAGCGTTTGCTGTGCTTCATTACCTCTTCTTAAACATAATTTTGCCTCTTTGCCTTTGTTCTCTTTAGAATTTTCGGATTTTCGATTTTCTCTGTCTCGCTCTTCTTCTGAAGTAAAAGTTTCTGACAACGTGTCACTGTAGAGAGACATATCGTCATCATCTGAAGTGCCACTTGAAGATGACCATGTTCCTGGTTTATCCATTAAATCCAGTTCCAACAGTACACTTTTGAGCTTATTGAAATAGTCGGTAACGATGAATTTGTTGAGCTTTTGAGCTCTTGCCGGGTTCATACTCTGCGCTCGCCTAGCAGAAATAAAGCCAGCAGCGACCAGCTAATTTGCTTTGCTGTGGCAAACCTTTCTGCTCACAGTAATTGAAAACGCTTCTTCGAACCATTCGTTTCGTAAGAGGATAACCTACGTCAGCCAACCTTTCAATTCTTGTTTCCAGTTCAGTTTCCTCATCTATTCCTAAAAGAGTTCTTCTTCCAAGTTTTTGTTTTTTGTTTGTTCCTTTGCTTAGGTAACGATTAAGAGTTCTTCTTGATATTTCAAATCTCTTAGAGGCTGCATTCTTTGATTCACCATTGGCTATTGCACTAAGGGCCCGTTGAAGATTGTCTTCAGACCACTGGGACCTAAGCCCTTTTGATTTGTACTTTGGCATCTTTAAAAAATAATTCTTATTAGTGAATTATTGTGCAAGTGATGGTAATATGCTCAATGGGCATAATATCAACATTGCCCATTGGGCATATTATCAACAATGTATGCTTTTTAAATTTATTCAATTTTTTGTACTAACCTCAAAATATTTTGCAACAAATTATGTATGAAAATAAAGGCCAAAGTGTAGGTTTTCAAATAAGGTGATCACAATTGCAAAAGAACGTTTCACTTCCACTTGTCACGTAATTGAAAATTGCACTTTTTTAGATCAGAGACGTCCAAAATCGTGTACGTACTCTCTTATGTCCGGTAAAGCACTGAGCGGCCTGGATTTATTCTAGAGTCCTGTAGATACTCACTAAAAGGGCATCTGGCGCCATCTGTGGATCGTACACTTGAAATGCGTTTAAATTACACTGTGTGGGCATATTATCAACATGGGCATATAACCTTCCACTACCTTATAAGCAAAATTAGCGGGTGATCGCTGAACTTGCGGTGAAGAAGTAAATTGGCCGGCATACACACACATTGTTTCGCGCGGTTTATTGTGAGAACCCATGTCCACAAATTCCACGTGACGGTTTTGAGGTTAGTTCAAAGACATAAACGCCACGTAGCGAACTATCACGTTGAAAATTAGTAGGTAAAAGTTTGTTTCGCCAGGGTTTGTATTTGCCACCAGCATTTGCCTTCCTTGTTTAACAAATAAAAATTGACTGAAACAATCAATGACGTCAAAAACGTTCGTCGGTTCTTAAAAGAGAAGTCATTCATTTTAATATGTCAAAAAACTGAATGTGTCATATGAATTAATCTACGACAACCCTTTTTTTTCAAATTTCAAGGTCAAGTATCAACCCTGGTGAAACGAACTTTTTTTCTTACATGACAACATACACTTCCAAACGACACGATAAATGACACTTTTCACCCATACACATACGATTTGTCCTTATGCCGCGCGTAATCACGTACTAAATCATTTGAATACTCTACAAGTGTATGGAACATGACGTTTTTTTTTGCCACGCCGTTCTTTCGCGCATGGAAACCGATTCATCCCAACACGCCACAATGACCGGGCGAAATAACGTGTGCGTATGCCGACCTCGATAAGGATCGATTTATAATGTACAGGGTGTTTCCTTATATTTTGACCCCTACCTACAGCTTTAGCTATACGAGGTGGAAAAAAACTTTAAATATGAAAGTTGTAGGGTTTTATGTCTATCACCTTTTGCGAATGTCAAAATGGGCAAATGACAGATGCCAACTGTCACAATGACAAACACTTGCATTTTTCAAATGGAACACCCAGTATATTTTTGGCTAGAATGATAGATTTTTTTTTTCTGATTCCAAATAAATCATATACAGTGTGTCCGAAATTCGAGTCTCTACATGTGGATTTCGCTTATTATGAGAGATACAGGGTGGATCAAATTAGGAAAGTTTTAGGGAATTTATTGTTCATTTATATCCTGTTGTTAAATTTGTTTCAAAGTTTTCTGTTTCCTAGAATCCAAGAAAAACTGAAAATAGCCAATTTTGTTTTTTGTCAATAATTCATAAATCGTTAACTTTAGACTTTTCTAACTTTAACATTATTGAGACACTTTTTGGAGACGGATATTTTCGTGATTTGAAAACATTCCGATCGTCGTTTGTTTTCAAGTTATTAACCAAAACTTTCTTATTTCTTATTGCGGTCATCTTCGATTTCAACAAAATAATATTCTGCGAAAAAAATCCTTAAAAATGATGTATTACAAGCTATGAAAACGTTTTGCAAGTGCTTCAAAATTACAGTTGAAACCGATATTTTGCTCGACAGCCGTTTGCGCGAGGGAGAAAAGCGCGATACGAAAAGCGCGAGGGACAAAACCGCGACGGAACAAAAACGCGACTGGAGAAAAGCGAGAGTAACAAAAACGCGACTGGATAAAAGCGCGAGGGACAAAAACGCGAGGTACAAAAGCGCGACAGAACAAGATCGCGACTGAACAGAAGCGCGAGAGAAAAAAACTCGAGGAACAAAAGCGCGACGGAACAAAAACACGACTGAACAGAAGCGCGAGGAACAAAAACGCGACTGAACAAAAGTGCGAGGGACAAAAACTCGAGAGACAAAAGCGCGACGGAACAAAAATGCGAGGGACAAAAGCGCGACAGAACAAAAACGCGACTGGAATGAAGAGTGATGGACAAAAACGCGACTGGATAAAAGCGCGTTGGACAAAAGCGCGAGGAATAAAAACGCGACTGGAATAAAGCGCGATTGGATGAGAACGCTCGACTATCTACGAGGAATATAGAACGCTTTCCAAAATACAAGACATTAAGACATTCTCAGTGGCTCCGGTTCAAAAGAGCGATATTTGAAATAGTGACATTAAAAAGGCGACATATTTTTAAAGCGATACATCAAAATAGCGATATTCAAAACAGCGACTTATTAAAATAGCGACATTCAAAACAGCGACATGTGAAAAAAGTAGCGACATATCAAAAAAGCGACATTCGAAAGCGCGATACTTGAAACAGCGACATTGCAGAAGAGCGACATATGTAAAGAACGAGATTTAAAACAGCGACATCAACAACGGCGACCTCTAAGCAAAACAGGGACACATCAAATTGTATCAATAATAATCAAAAAAATGCAGACTACTCAAACTAACGCGTTCCCCTAGTGCGATCTTGTCCTCGTAAGTTAGTATTTTATTTGAAAAACAAGGTTGACATTTTTTTTAAATAAAATGCTAACTTACGAGGACTAGATCGCACTAGGCGTACGGGTTAGTTTGGGTTAGTTTGAGTAAGTTTGCAATGAAATGCTAACTTACGAGGACTAGATCGCACTAGGCGGACGGGTTAGTTTGGGTTAGATTGAGTAAGTCTGCAATAAAATGCGAACTTACGAGGACTAGATCGCACTAGGCGGACGGGTTAATTTGGGTTAGATTGAGTAAGTCTGCAATAAAATGCTAACTTACGAGGACTAGATCGCACTAGGCGGACGGGTTAGTTTGGGTTAGTTTGAGTAAGTTTTCAATGAAATGCTAACTCACGAGGACTAGATCGCACTAGGCGGACGGGTTAATTTTGGTTAGATTGAGTAAG